GTCTGTAGTTCCCCCTAGAGAACACATTCATACACAGGGGACTCAGGAGACCTTCAATTGCTCTGGATGACTACTGAGTGACAGGACCCTCAAGTATGCACCCATGCCCAGCATTGAAGAGTGTACCTTACAAGCTAAGTTTCCAATAATGCTTCCTGAGCCGGGCGGTGGTGGCACACGCCTTTAATCCCAGCACTCGGGAGGTAGAGGCAGGCAGATCTCTATGAGTTCAAGGCCAGCCTGGTCTACAAGATCTAGTTGGGAAACCCTGTCTGGAAAAACCAAAAAAAACCAAAAAAAACAAAAAAAAAAAAAAAAAAAAACAAGAAGAAAAACCAATAATGCTTCCTTTACAGAACTCTTTTTTTTCTAAAATAGAAAAAGCACTTATTTAACCACAAAATATACAACCTTTTAAAAAAGTGTTTTTTTTTTTTTTTTTTTTTTTTTTAGAAATAGGCTAGTTCTCCATCCATTTAGAATGGGTAGGCTGAGAAGCATGTACAAGGTGTGAATCCAAAGGCTCTCACTGCTTTGTTCCCTAACCTAGAGACCTCTATAATCTCTCAGTCTACAGTCAACCATTCCATGTGGGTTTAAGTGTATGGGGTAATCATGTTACCTGTTAGATAAATACAAGAAGCTAGCCCTAAAATTTTCTGTGAGTCAGTCAATCCACCATGGAGTTCTTCGGGAGAACTCCCTCCTATCTTCACTCCAGGATGCTGGGAGCTCGTCAAGCAGGAAGCAACACAAGGGAGCCCAAGGAGATGGGCACCGACCACCACAAAAGAAAGACATTCACCAGGTAGGGCACAGGAACAGTGAAGTCTAGCTCTACTTCCCTCTCCCACTGTCTCCCTTGGGAAGGATGCTTTGTGCTGAGAAAACCACTGCCTGAAACACTGCTTTGCCTGCTGTTCAGTAGAAAGGCTGAGGGGCCCTGGGGAGATGGCTCTGTAGGTGAAGTTCCTACCACACGAGCATGAGGACCTGAGTTCAGATCCTTAGAGACCATATGAAAATCAGGTGACAACTGGGGAGAAGTGAGAGGGAGTGAAAAGGCCGATCTTAAGCTCACTGCCAATCATCCAATAGAGACCCGCCCTGAAAATGACCTCTGCCTTCACCTCCTGACAGGGTTGTTCCTGTAGGGGGTTTCTGGTTGGAGACCTCTCTGCATACAGGTAGGATGAGTTCTCAAAGCCCAAGGGTCACATGAGCCACAGTGGCAGGACCCTTGTTTGCTCAGGAAAAACCACACCAATTCAAGTAATGAAAACCAACCTGTGTCAAGAAAAAAAAAAAAAAAAACTGATTTCCCAGCTAAGACAAGGATTCCAGAATGTTTCATTCTTAGATGCTCATTCCCATCACATAGTTGGTTATTCCACATGGGTTTAAAAACTGAGGAGTTACCAACTTAGTTATTAAGGGCAGAAAAACAACTAAGTCTATTATTGAAGCCCCTTGAGTAACTTTCAAATGAACTCTATGCAATGAGAAAGTAATGGCCACAGGCTTGAATAAGAGCTGTCTGGCTACTGTTCTGTCTACTTCTGGTCCTCACTGAGTCCTCCCCTCCCCCAGCATTGTAGACCCAACAGAGCCAAAGGCCTGGCTTTATTTAAAGAAGGCTTCATTGGAGAGGCTTCAGGTCCTGCACCCAAAATTTACCAATACTTTCAACATGTTTCACTCTTCGCCTTATTGGAGTCGAGATTACAAACGGAGTTTCTCAGAGCAGGAAACACAGTTCTGTGCTGTGTACAAAGCCTGGGCTCCAGAGGACACCTAGACACATGGTACACATGTGGACAGGAACACTTATCTAAAAGTTATGACCCACAGCCCAGGGGAAAGACGTGGGCCAGGTGAGCTTTCTCAGTACAACTTTGAGACTCAATCATCTTTAAAAAAGGTGTTAACTATTTGTTTATTGACTTGGTGTGTGGGCATGCATACAAGGCATGCATGTGGAGGTCAGAGGAGACCTTGAAGGTGTCAGTTATCTCCTTCCACCATGTGGGGTTCAGGGCTTGAATTCAGACTGTCAGGCCCGGCAGAGAGCACTTTTACTCTCTATGACTTTTTTGCTTTTACATTTTTCGCCCATTTTATTCTTGTTAGTGATCTGTCACTCATACCGTACAATTTTTTCTCTACCCAGGTTTCTTTCTGCAGCCCATGGACAGCCAAGAGGTTTTGGATGTGTGGCTGAGGCAGACAACTCTGGAGAGGCAATGGGAAGCATGGTTCCTGGAAGGGTACAGTAGGCAGGAGCTGCAGCACAACACCCCCCACCCCCAGTCTCTTGCCCCACCACACTGTACTGGCACAGAGTCTAGAAACAGGCCCCTCACCCAGTGCACTGGCTCTAGAAACTACCAGAAGGTTTCAGAGGGCAGCCAGGGCTTCATGGGTCCTCACTTCCTGCAGACCAGATGCTGCTTTCCATCTCTGAACACCTATCTTCCTTCTTTGTAGCCAAGACCTGGGCAACATGGGAACACAGACTCAAGCGAGCCACTCTAAGGAGGGCTGCTGAACCTTTGGTCCCACTGAGAAACAAAACTACTAGATTATTTTGTTAAAAATTCCACTTCTAAAATAATAAACTGGGCACCAACGAGCAAGTTACTATTGCACGTAGTCTCACTGCCCAGAACTCTATGGAACCATTGTTCAACCTTTTTAGGTAGACTGGAGGAGAGACTTGGGGTATGAAGCAAAGTAACTGGCTGGAAAAATGAGGAACACTTGGCCAGGTTTGCTTTATTTACATATCATTTGCATATGTTCAACCAGTACACAGGAGAAGCACCTCAAGCTTGTTCAGTTAGCATGGAGGGCAGTATCTTCCTTAGCATTCTTCCCTCATAGGACAGTATGCCATGTGGAGGCAGTAGGGGCCTATGCCAAGAATGTTTAAGTAATAAATGACTACATCAAATAATACTGAAAGCAATCCCCATACACTTTCTGACCAGAAAAGTCAGATTATCTACTTGTGGCACACAAATCATCTACTTGTGGCAGCTGGATGCTTGCAAGCTGACGACTGTCCTTGGTGCCACTTCAAAGATGGGATAAGGGAAGGCCTAGAAGTTAACTGCACAATGTAAGCTAGGACAGAGCCTCCATGTTCTAGTCTGTGTTCTTGTGATCCCCTGCTGCCAAGGGTTCTGACAGCCTTCCAGGGCAAATGGTAAGCTACAGAGCACAAGAAGAACCCTTTGTTGGCTTTAGGTAAGGGGCAGCCTGGTTCTCCTGCAAAAGTCAGCAGAGCCAACACCAGCAGGAGTTGGAAGGTGAGTGAGGAGAGATAGGAAGCATAAAGAAGGCAGAGGAGTAAGGAAGGGTGGGGGAGAGAGAAAGGAGGAGACTATGCAGGGAAGGCGTAAGGCCCCAGGCTGACCAAGGCGTAAGGCCCCAGGCTGACCACCGAGCTCTTTGTGATGACTAGTCCATGGTGGCACCACACAACACACTCCTATTTGCATCCTACAGGAAGGAGTGAGCTGCCCTTCCACTGCTGGTTCCATCAGTGGCTGACCTAGGAGACTTTCCACTCAAGCACTCAACTTCTCTGACTTTCCAGACCTTAGATTGAATCAAACAGCAAAAGGCACAGGACAAAAAGCCACACATGGGGACTGAGGAGGTGGTTTAGCTGGTGAAGTACTGACATCATCATGAAGACCTGAGTCTGATCACCACAACCCACAAAAGCATCCCAGGCACAGTGGTATATGTCCCTAACCTCAGCACTGGGGAGGCAGAGACGGCCAGGTCCCTGGGCTTAAGGAACGGCTAGTTCAGTTCAATTGTTGAGCTCAAGACTATGAGATACCCTGTCTCTAGAAGCAGGGTGGATGGCCCTGAGGTACAATATCCAGGTCTCTACTGGCACACATACAGGGCTATATGTATAGCCCAGGGCTATAGCAGTCTCCATTGTCCAGTGAAAGCACTTTGCAATGTGCACCTATAAGGTGTTTATAAGATTCTAAAGCTGCCATAGCAATTGTCGTTAGTTACTCAAAGCTGTTAAGATGAAACCCAAATGCAAATACACTCTACAGAAAGTAGTGAAGGTCACTTCAAATGTCACTATTAACTATTTTATCCATGTAAAATGTTCTATTTTTAACAGTTTTCCATACCTGACAAGTCACGTTTTTGCTGGAGAATACATTCTGAATTTTTTAATCTCTTCCAATTTAAGTCACAAAGATTAGTTAACTTGAACTATTCCCTACCCCCCCTTTTTTTTTTTAACATTTTCTATTTTCAAGTCCTTAGCCCCTTTTCCAAACACAGAAAGGGAGACTGCAGCAATAACGAAGGGATACAGCAGAGGTCTACAGGAACAAAAGACACAGGGGCCTTTTGGAAGCAAGAACCTGCTGTGTGTGGTATCTCCCGCATGAGGTTGTGTGTGTAATGTGTGAGAGTGAGGATGGAGAGGCCTTGGGCACTGGCTTGCAGCAGAGTAGCTTTGAGGACAGGCTCACTCCATCATGGCACTGTTCCTATCACATGATAGTCTAATCCACAGGGACTCATGCATGGCACGAATGAGACTCCATGTGGGGTTCCACTCCCAGACAGACATAAGGAGGACCACCATGTCATACTCCAAAAAAAGAAAACTAAAGCATGCTTCCCAAACAGCAGGCTTTGCCTCATCTAAACCACCCATGTAGTGGAGATGAAAATGCAACCAACTGCTAATACAAATTAATGTCTGGGGAGGCAGTGGGAATTTGGGATAGATAAAACCTGTCTGTTTCCAGTAGCACTGCTTGAATACTGCAGGCAATTTTATTTTAGCACACAATCCACTGTACTGCTTCAATCTAACTGCTTTTCCATAGTCCATAGCTACTGAGCTAAATGTCTGTATTGATGTGCATTTCCTCTGTTTGACATGCCCCAGGAAAAGACCAGTATCTTCAAAATGACATTTTGGATGGAGGAATGTGAAAGAGGCTTACCTCATCCCATTCTAAAAGGTAGCTGGTGATTTTTGAACCATTATCAATTGGAGCCTAAAAAAGAAAACAATGAAATGAGGTTGGAGAAAGCTGTTCAGAAACAAGCTAGCACCTTGGTCAAAGACAGTGGCTGTCACAGCTCTGTGCTTTCCCCTGAGAGAGGGAACCAGCAGCTGTCACAAGGCCATGGTAGATGCAATTACCTATTAACCTCCCACAACTCAGGTGTAAGAGCGGCCTGGTTGCTGGCAGGCCTCCCTGGACAGGGAGGCCCACCTGCTTCCACCCTACCACACTCCTGACCCATGTACCCTGCTTCCTCTTGGATAAAACTCTCAAGAGTCATTTTAGGTTCACTGCAGCAAGAGACAAAAGACCTAATGTGTAAGACACACTGCTTGGGGCTGGGAGCAGGCACAGTCATGCCTGCCTTTGTGTGACTTCCTCTCACAGCTTTGGATTTTTGTTTTGTTCTACTTTTTCCTTTAAGTACTTAGGATTAGAGAACCGGTTGTGGCATTAGGGTACCCCATCCCCCACCCCACCTCCTCCCACTCTACCCTCCTGTATACATGCACGCATGAACGAAGGCACAGAGAGGTTCCATCCTCTAGATAGACTACTAGAGGGTACTAGCCCTTCACACGTTAACAAAAAGAGGCTTCATCATTTCTTGCACTCATAAAAGAAAGCTGATACCAATGCCACCGAGAAGACAAGGTTCAACAAGGCAAGTAGAACTTTCTAGAAAAGAGGACTTTACAGAGCTTTTATTAGAAGGGGTGACACCATGGGGTTATTGCAGCACTCGGGATAGAAAGTTCTAGAAAGACAGAGAAAATAAGAGGCAAGCAGTAGGAGTCTATCTTGTCTCAAAAAATATGGTATGTTTGGGTTTGGTTCTTCCTCAGAGAGAGAGGGGGGCCCAGTGAACTGCACCACACCCTTGCAGAAGGAATCCCAGTCCAACTGTCTGCTTGCCAATGGTCTGTGAGCTGTTTAATATCAACATGGAAATTTTATTTCCAAGAATGAAGATCCATGATGGATAACCAGGAGACTATATGTAAATCACCCATGATTATACCCAGCTTTATAAGAAGCACTCAGCTAATGGCAGCTGCTGTTTTATCACTGTTGATAATAAAACATCATCAGGGCCTGTAAGAGCCACAGGCCTGTTTTTCCCTCCTCCCTCTCCTCGCTTGAGCCAGCTTGCAGGTGAGCTGGGAACTGAAGTTTAGAGCTTTGGTGGGTCTGGGCTGGGGGCAAGGGAGGGGGCGGGTGAACTTTTAGGTAACTGGCAAAGCTTTCAGGAGAATCCAATTCTTTGGCTTTCTTGGTTTCTTTGTGGAGTCAAGAACAGGCAGCAGCTAGAAGTCTCTGGTGCACATGCCTTTGCCCAGTGTGCTACCAGGGAGCCTACACAGCACACTTAAATAGACGCTGAGCTGATTCCAGGACCTTCAGCCCTTTGCAGATGACTGAATGGATCAGGGTAGTTTTGGTCCCCAAGTGACCTCTCTGGAAGCTGCTGGTCCATCCACATGAGACCCCCAAATTCGACCCAAGCTCAGAGCAGACACATATCAGTGATTCCCAACTTTAAGTTTGTAAGACCCCGGGGTCCCTCTGGTAATCTTCAGATTTCTTGTATTTTTTTTTTCAAAAGAAATCTATTTTAAATCTTTCCTTCAGAAAAGATTCATATTATCTCACATGAACTTATTTTTAAATGGATGTATATTTGCCAAGGAATTAAACGATGATGAGCAGTTGGGTGCTAAAACTCTGAAAAGGTGGGAAATCACTGACCTGGATTATCCCTGGAAGCCAGGAAGGAAAATAAAAAAGTTCAGTCTAAGCCAGTTGAAACTTTGCCTCTGTCCCAACAATACAGTCAGTGTCAGCCACTGACTATGAACACATGGCTACCTACACCAGGACGCAGAGAAGCCTGGTAACACTGATAATGCCACTCTCTCTCCCCGGACCACTTACCCCCTCCTGCACTCTGGAACCATAAGCCTCCATCATTTCCATCTATCTGACACTTTCTAACTACATTTTAAGACATCAAGACAGAGAAATAATGATTGCAAAGGGTAATAATGATATGTTTTCTTGCAAACATGAAACTGGGATTAACAGGCGAATGTCATACTTTAAAGAAGGGGCACACTCTAAGATTGCTTGCTAGGCAGTGGCTAGTTTTAGACAGTACACTATAGTTTATGAAAACCACTACATAGTTCAGGCTGTTAAAAATAGGAATCCTGATTGAGCTAATGACTAATTAGTGAAAATTAATTAAGTCTTAATGGAATACAGAACACAATATATTCTGGGAAGCTTTAACTAGTATTTCATTTTACTTAGGAGGAAGCTATAAGAACTCAACCCCACTTATCTCTAACCCTTCAAAATGCATGCTGAAGTTTCCAGATGTTTGCAGAAATGAACTCGAGTAGAAAGTGATGGGATTGAGGAATTTTTGGTCCTTATATCACCGATGTTGCACTGGGAGAGCCACCGAGCTCCTGAGAAGGTGCTCACACTGGATCCTGCTGGTCCTTCCTCCCACTTCCTCTGCTTGTCATGCAAACGGCAACTTCTGATACCTCATAACTGGGTTCATGTAGTGATTACACAGAAAACCTAATCCCAGGGCAAACGGAGTACTTCAAGTGGCCACTGACTGCCTTGCCACCACCATGAACATATTCTTGGCACTTTGAGCTACTCACCTTCCACTGCAAGGTGAGTGAACTTCTGCTCCTGTGTGCCAGCTTTGGGGGGAAGGGGCACTCCGGTGCACAGCTGTGGGTGGTGAAGCTAACTGCTTCAGAGCAGGCACCCTTGACAGAATTGTACATGGCGTACACCCTGCAAAGGAAACAGACAGGCAGACTGAGCAGCAGTGATTGAGATCCAAGATCCACCTATGAGATGAGCCTCGCTTCATCCATGGCCTTTCCATAGCTGAGCAGAAGTCCTTACACGGGAGAACACTGTGCTCTTGTTTTTAGCTAGCTCTGGTCACTCATTACAGGGACAGGTCATTAGGTGTGCCTTCCTGTAAGTTCCCACTCAGCCCCACTGGACAGAGGTAACTCTGTGGACTGGAGAAGAGCATCCTACATAAGGAAGTGGAGGCAGCTTCACTCCCCAAGTGGTCTCCATATATACATTCTAAAAACCAATAGGCTTGGCTGTCTAGAAAAAAGGTGGAAGTACACTTGCAAGGAGTTAGTGACAAAGAATGTGACCAGAGTTCACAGGTTGCAGAGAATGTACAAAAGAACAGCAAGGTAGATGACACCTCAGCACTAATAAGTGAAACATATTATATCTATATCTATATATATCTATATATATCTATATCTCTATATATCTCTATATCTCTATATCTCTATATCTATATCTCTATATCTATATCTATATCTATATCTATATCTATATCTATATCTATATCTATATATATATATATATGGACATCCCCCACCATAGCACTACTCAGAGCACCATGTACATTTAGGTAAAAATATGGATGCTTTGCCTGAGAAAACTGCGGGCTAGTGCCAAATGCATCTCTCTGAAATCCAACAAAGACAGCATTCCATCACAGTCCATCCACATGCATATCTAATGCCCCGCCCCCAGCACCAAGATTAATGATTTTCTCTGCTCTCTAAAGCACTTGGCTCAGCACTTAATGTATGCGCCTAACTTTAAGGTATGTAACTCAAAAAGTGCTCAGCACAATTGCACACTTCATCCCAAAAGGCAACTTAAGAGTCCATCTTGTATTGTGTTATTTGCCTCATGGGAAGGCAGACATCCCAGCATTTGAGGCAAAGAAATGATACTGAATTCAAGCATGTGCTCTGCCCAACCCAACTGAGAAAAGGCTCCTCTGTGTACACAGTGTGACGATGAATGTGACAATGCTAAACCGAAGGCAGTGATGTGGCACATCTGGCGCATCCATGTGTTAGGATGGACTCAATGAACCATACAATGTTGCAGACATGGTCAGATTCAAGCTTAAATTTTATATCACAATTCTCCAACTGAAGTCTTATGGGCTGTACCTAGACCAGGATCTACATGTGTTGGGGAAGGAAACCTGGGGTCTTCAAATATCAGAGCCACCTATAAATTTTAAGATTTAGCCTAAGATCACCACAAAGGAGATAACCAGATTCTGTGTGTTCCCAATACATGGTCAGAGCACTTGAGCATTGAAGCACCCCCTTATGATGCCTGCATGAAGGAGGCTGAAGCAGGGGGATTGTGACTTCAAAAGTGCCTCGAGCTACTACTATCCTGGTCAGTTTTTTTTGACAATGTAACACAAGCTAGAGTCATTTGAGAAAAGGGAATCTCATGGAGAAAATCCCACTATCAGACAAACTGACTTGCAAACAAGCCTGTGGGGCATTCACTAGACTGATGATTAATGTGGTGGGTTCCCATTAATTAAAAATCAAAGACCACAGTGGGCAGAGCCATTCCTGAGTACCTAGTTATGGTACCTAGATGGTATAAGAAAACAGGCTGAGCAAGCCAGGAAGGAGGTGCAAACCACAGGCAGTCTTTCTCAATGGCCTCTGCTTCAGTTCCTCCTCCTTTCAGGTTACTGTCTTGAGTTCCTGCCTTGACTTCCCTCAGGGCTGAAGTGTGACCTGAGAGTTGTAAACTTGAGCCAGGTGTGGTCGTGCATGCCTTCAATCCCAGCACTCCAGAAGTAGAAGCAGACTGAGTTTTAAATTCAAGGCCAAATTCCAGGACAACTGGGACTACACAGTGAAACCCTACCCCTAACAGTTTGAAGCAGAAATAAACTCCTCGCTTTTGAAGTTGTTTTTGGTTATGATGTTTCATCACATCAACAGAAATCTTAACTAAGAATTACAAAATGAGTTCTAGGCTAGCCTATGCTGCATAGTAAGATATACAAACAAAAATAAATGAAAAGGACAAGCCATTGTCTATGAATCTATGTGTAAATCTGATTATATGTCACTGCCACCTTCCTGTAAATTCAGAGGACAGAGAAGCATATTAAGCAATCAGAGAAACTATAGTCAGCTAAACTGACGAGTATGAAATATTCTACAGGACATAAAAATAATCCTGATAAAGACATTAAGACCTAAGGAAAATCTATGGAGTTAAAGAAATTTGAGACCCATTAACCAAATAGCATATTCAGGCTACATCTGAATTTTCATAACAACAAACTAAAGAAAGGAAACCCTTCATTTTTAGGACAACTGAGGAAAAGTGAGCAATCTCCGAGTTTTGAAGACATTAAGAATTGCTATTGTGTTTTATGTGGCATGTAAAGATGGTAACGTTATTTAAACGTGAAATATATAATATCTAAATTTGACATCAAGGTCTTTGATAAAACAGAGTTTGGCAGAGAAAGAACCAGAGGAGAGTAGTAAAAGTCTGATATGGTTAATGGGTCACATGGAGCTACTCTGCTCATCTGTAATTGTGGAGACTGTTAAGAGTTTGGTCCCAGCACTCAGGAGGCAGAGGCAGGCGGGTCTCTGTGAGTTCAAGGCCAGCCTGGTCTACAGAGTAAGTACCAGGACAGCCAAGGCTACACAGAGAAACCCTGTCTCAAAAAGTCAAACCAAACCAAACCAAACAAGCCCCCCACCCCCAAACCAAACCAAACCAACCAACCAAACAAAAAAAAAAGAGTTTGGTATAAAATTTGGTAGTAGAGTATATATTCAGCATGCATGAGGGCCTGAGCTTAATCTCCAGCAAACCCCTCTCCCAAGTCATTTAAATGAGAAGTTCAGAGATTTCACACATAAAAGCTGGTCAGCAAGGAAAACTAGGTTAATTTTAAAGCACACTCTGTCTTCTAGTCAGTGAAATTTGATACATTATCCAATCACATCAGGATTATTTATTAATTAAAACTGTTCAGTAAATAAACTATCCTGCAGTAGCTTGCTACATTCTTACCCATGATGTCTATAAAAAGGTAGAAATCTTTGAAAATGACACTTAATATTAAATATTCCAGGAGCCAGCAAGATGGTTCAGTGGTTAAAGGCACCTGTCACCAAGCCTGATGACCTGAGTTTGATCCCTGGAACTCACATGATAGTGAGCACCCACCCCTGTAAGTTGTCCTCTGATCTCCATATGCAATCTTCCCCCAAATAAACTAATAAACACATAAATAAAATAATCCAAAATCCCTCCCCCATGATGGGTTTTCTCTACTATCCTGTAACAGGAAGCTTAGGATCATTTTCTTTGGTGAAGTCAATCAATTGGATTTTATTTGCACTTAACCCCCGAAACCAGAACATTTTCCTGCATAATTAATTTTCTGTTGGGGTTCCACATTGGTTTCCATGTCAATGCCAGCCAAACACTTGGGAAGCAGATGCTCCAAGATATCATCAACAGGCTTGCAGCTCCTTCCACACATCTGGGACATCCCAGAAGCCACAGGCTTCTGTGATTAGCACCTATTTCATAACTCTGGACTGGTCAACTAGGTTTTTAGAAATGCTTCAGCACATCTTTTTTTCTGGGAAATGTCATCCATGATGTCACTTCTGGGCAAACTGCTTACATTGGTGACTAAAAATGTGCTGCCAAGTTTGTCATGTCTGGAATGCTACACACCTATCTTTCAGACAGGGTATCTTACTGGCTGGAGTTCACCCATTATGTTAGGTTGACTGGCAGCGAGCCCCAAGGACCAGCCTTCTCAGCACTGAGGACTGAAAGCATGTACTATGGTGGCTGGCTTTTTAACATGTGTTCTAGGGGTCACATTGAGGCCCTTACTGACTAAACCATTTTTCAAGAAAAACACAGATTTGTTTTCCTCCCATATAACATATAATCTCAATGTCTTTGTTTTCCTTTCTCTTCAGCAACTACACTAGATTTAATTTTAATGGTTTTATACAACACATAACATTATATCCCCAATGGAAAGACTAATTACACTTTGATAATTATAAATTGATTCTTTTAAAACATTATATCAGTTAATTAAAATGATCATTTTAACAAAACTCTAAGAAAAGACCTAAATTTTACAATTCAATGCATACATTACATAAAGATCTTTTGCTTCAATCACAATAGTAATAGCAACAGCAACATGGTGGAATAGAATTGCAGAAATACCACATATATGTTTATAGGAAAAACAAAGAAGAAACATTTTTTAAACTTGAAATGAGTTTGGACGTAATTTTCCACATGGCAACTGGCTTAGATGGCAGATGTCAATAAAAATAACACATGATTGACAGCATGGCCTAGAGGATGTCCTGGTCCCAGGCAACCCCACTGATTTGAGGGCTGACCAAAGACAATAGTTGTTCCAGGCCAGGTAACCAAAACCAACCACCAGGCAGTTTGTGCTAAGATTCCATCTGGAGAGGAACTCATTATGTAGGAAACAGGCTTGTTGTGTCCTATCAGTACTCACATGTGGAGGGAACCGAAAGTAAGGAAAAGCAGTATGCAAAGACATCAGACAATCTGTGGGTAGGATAAAGCCAGAGCAGAAAAAGGAAATCCAAGGAAGAAGAAGAGAACCAGTGAGAAGACATGGGAACTGGAGAAGGGAATGGGGCTGAATATGAACAAAGTACAATGATAATTGAAAATATCAAAATGAAGCCCATAATTCTGCACATTAAAACAAAGCAACAAGAGGGCCTACATGTAACTTCAGCAAGTAATTTAAGAATGAAATATTTATGTGCCAAGATTCCTGTAGGTCTCAATCAAAATTGCAATATTAAGAACTGGAAGGGGGTGTGTGGCTCAGTATGCTGGGCACTACATAAACTGGGTGTGGTGGCTCACACCTGTCATCCCATCACTTGGGAGGTATCAAGTAGAAAAGCAGAAGGTCAACCCATCCATGGCTACAGAGACCCTTTCTCCAAACAGCAAACAAAAAACTAACAGGAAAGGAAAGTGTAGCCTATTTTGTGCTGTTAGGAGAAATATCCTGGTTGTCTCAGCTCCATGGGCATGTAGCAGGGTGGCATTTCAAAATTCCTAATGAAAGGGGCAGGGGCTTAGCTCTCCTTTTGTGGCTGCTGGGTGATACAGGTTTTCCACAGCAAATGCATTTCCACACAGCCCTCGGTAGTGAGTACTGAATTTGCTACTGACACATATTCCTGGAACTCTGAAAGTATGATGTATCATTACAGAACATTACAGAAAACCACAACTGATGAAAATGCAGAGAACAAGAGATCATGTGATGGCCAGGCCCAAATGATACATCGAACAACACAATTCCTGAACCTTAGGGCTCAGGAAATCAGCTCAGAAGGACAGCATGGGGGACACTGCAAGAGCCAGGGGAACAGAGAGTTTCTCATTAGACTGTCCTCTAGAAATGTCAGGGATGCTAGACCCCTGAAGAGTCACAACATGGCTTCCTAAACAAGACTTCAAGCAGGGAGACATCAACAGACACGCAATTGTGGAGGCATGGAAACTAAAGACGCCTCAACCCTAGACAAAGACCTATGAGCAACTAAAGAAGCTCTAAGAGCCAGACTTAATCTTTTCCAGGGAATGGCCTCCCACTTGGCATTGGATGGCCACTACGATGATACAGAATAACCAAGTGTAGAGCACATGTGTCCCTAATGAGTACAGTGCAAACTCAACTCTTTTCCCTCTTTTCCCCATTTGAAATAGGGTGTCATTTGCCAGGCTGGCCTCCAATTCCCTATGTAGCCCAGGATGACCTTGAATGCCTGTACTTCTCAAGTGCTGAGATTGTATGTGTATGATACATGTAGACAGCATGCCCCCCCTCCATTTCCACATTTAATTAATTGATTAATCTCTCTTTGCACATGTGTATACGTGCATGTGCTATGTGTCAGAGGACAGCTCGTGAGAGTCAGTTCCTCCTTCCTGCATGTGGAATTGAATTCAGGATGTCAGGTTTGGCACCTATCACATTCACATCACTTCTGTTAAAGAGAAAACTGGGTCATAGAATTTTACTGATGTTGACATTTAAACAGCCAATTTATGGCAGAACTAAACTAGGACTTGATGGGGGATGTCCTTCTGTTTATATGTTTCTCTTATTGGTTGATGAATAAAACATTGAAGCAGAAAGATAGGCAGAACTAGGAGACTTGGAGAATGTTGGGGAGAGAAGAGAGAGGCCTTGAAGAGACCAGGCAGATAGGACATGCTAGGCTTTCTCCAGTTAGATAAGGCCATGTAGAAACACATAGATTATAGTTATGGGTTAATACTTAAGAGAGAGTTAGCCAGTAAGTGGCCTAGCCATTGGCCAACAGTTTATAATTAATATAGCATATTATTTGGGGCTAATCGGCTGAGAGACCAGGCTAGAAAGAAACTCCAGCAACAGAACTCCAGCTTCCTACCAGGCTACTCTGTCTTCACGCCATCACAGGGCTTTGTTTATTTTCTGCTCAACTTGGAAACTAGGTAAAATAGGAACATTTAGAAGTCTGACAAGTTGGATGGATAGCTGCACCATTAAATACTAAGATGGGCTCCAAGCAATTTGGATCTTAGGGTGCTCTATCAGGATGGCCGGGCTTTGCCTAAACCAGCTAGCCCTGTCTGCTGGGGTCACATCATAGGCCTCAGAACAACCACAGAGGAGTTCTAAACTATAGGTCACTCTACAAGGGTTTTTGCTTGGTCAAAATGGGTTTACTCACTTCAGAGATAATTTGATCTCTGCATTATTTGCCTATTTCAAAGTCTACTGGCTTTTAAGACCCAAAATTGTTCTAACATGTGAAAGCCTACTCCTGTCATTGGGTCTGAACACAGAGGTTCCATCTATGATGAGCAACTGATATCTCTATGGTAAAGAAAAAGCAGACCCTTGATGGATATATCTATGTATGTATGTATGTATATATATATATATACACACACCAAAGAAAACATTATATGCTAGGCCAAGTCATCCAATAGATCTTAGAAGCTCTTATAAAATCATTGTTATTGTTTGTGGGGTGAGGGGAACCCAGAGATGGATGTTGGGCATTTACCTGAATTGTCTTCTGCCTTACTCTTTGAGACAAGGTAGTTCACTTTACTGACTGAGCCAGCTCCCCATCCCTAAAAATTATTTTTTAAAGATAAACATGCTGTTCAGAATACCTCCCTTATTTTTCCCAGAGCAGCCCTGGGTCCTTAAAATTGCTGTGCTCCATGTACAGAATGTGAACAAATGGCCACGGCTCTGGGCCCACACCTTCCATGGGGGAAGTGTCATTCAATCCATTGAACAGGAGGCATGGGATGCACAGTGGCGACCTGGGCTCTGCAGCTACATCCAGGGCTGGTTCCAAACTTACCTCACGTGGTAATCAGTGGCAGGCCTGAGATCTTTCAGGTTGCATTCCAATTCTTCTCCACTGCAAAGACAAAGGATTTGTTAGTTTGTATACTGGTCTCAAAGGCAAAGCAGCTTTGGGACTGGGTTTCACAGTCATTCACCAATAGTAATACTACTATGTCTGCATTCACCAAAACCCAGAAATAAACCCTATTTGGTGGCTGTCTTTTTTATTTTTTTTAATTGAAAATCAGACTCCTTTGAATGACACCACTCAGATCTAAGAAACAACAAAGTCAATTAAGTTTTAAATGTCTTATGATTCCCTAAACCAGGACATCAAAGCAAATAAGTACCCAGACAGGCAAGTCTGCAAGAAAACATGCCAGCTGTCCGGCAAATGTGGCTCCCAGGCATTCTCTGACCCCCAATGACCTCAGCAAGCCCCTCCCCAATGAATTTATAGTCCATCCCAGGCCCCCAACATCTCTCTGACATAAGTAAAACCACTTCTGTGAGCCAAAGCGGAAAGAGCCTCAACCTTAGTGATAAGGAAACTACCGGTACAAAATAAGGCATATTCTGTTTAATTGTGGCCAAAAGGCCAGACGTGGTAACACACATCCAGAACTAGGGTGTTGAGGCAGGATAAACATAAGTTCAAGGACAGGCAAGGGAACTACACAGCAAAACTGGGATTTAATTTTTCTAAAGACAGAGGGTATGTGTGTGTCCATACCTTATTCCTCATTCTTCAAAACTATCAAGTGACACATTAAAAGAGACTGGACAACTAAGTGAATTCACTAGAACTATCCTGAAGGAATAACAACACTAACTTGGTTTTCAGTACAAGCGATTCATAAAGTCAGCTGGCAAAACTGGAATTAGTTCTGATAATTAACAAAACTGGTAATTACAACAAGGTTATCTAAAAAAAAAACAAAAAAAAAAACAAAAAAAAAAAAAACAAAAAAACCAAAAAACATCCTTGTGCTAGAAAACATGAAATACCTAGTGGTAAAGGATTGTGATGTATGAAACTAAGTGAAGAAATTCATGTAGAAGAGAAAAAGACACAGCTAGAAAGGTTAATAGGATAAAAGATTAGTGTCAGAAACATATATACAGAACACACCTCCACATATCCATCTTTATACCAAATGTTTGCTACATCTGAACTTCTCCCAAATAAAGTTGTTTTAAGTTTCACACCAGAAGCTATGTTCATACCTAGCTGCAGCTTGACCTGCATTGCAACTGAAAACGTTCTGTGATTTGCAGAACTAGATTGACATGACAAAAACAACACAGTCATTGAGACTTTTAGCATCTGTTGGGGGGAAAAAACCCCTAAAGAATCAACAAATGCCAACAATTGAAGTTGAGGGGCAAGTGCTCCCTTCTAGCAGACAGGCTTGCAACCATAAACTGCAGCCTGCACTGTATCATGTACCTAGCTCCTGAGGGTACCTGGGACTCTAGCTGTTAGCACCAGTGTTTATCTCAAATCAATAGGATGTAGCTAGTCAGGGGCAGTGGTATGTATCTGTACTCTACCCCAGTAGTTCCAGCTCCTGGGGAGCCCGAGGGACGAAGATCATATCAGTTCTTCACCAGCCTGGGCAAAAAAGCAAGATGCCTTTCCAGTCTCTAATTCCTGAGTGAGGAGCTGGAGGCTCTATTCTCTTCCAATGTGTATCTAGATGTATCTTTTTTTAAAAAAAAATAGGATAAAATGATTAAAAGACAGAGCACCAAACTGAGGTTTTATTCCAAACAAACATGGCAATCTCTAGAGTGTTCTTGCAAAGGAGTGATGGCATGGTTCTGGTGTGGCTCTACAGGGAAGACATCTGATGATTCAGGGTGAGAGCAGGTGCAGAAAAGTCAGGAGACACAGCAGGGACCAAGGAAGAGACAACAGAGAAGAGTGGGAGGAAGAGAACGGTCAGCACTGGAATGGCTCTTTATTTATGTCTTTTTCTCTACTTGTTCACAAGTCGGCTTATCTGGGTAGGACATCATGAAAGCAGAAGAGAAAGTGGGCAACACTGCATGGCACTGATGGAAAGAGAAATGAAGAGAAACAAAGGCTTTTGGATGAGATACAAATGGGATTTGTGTGAGCTGAGTTATACTGCCGTGCACAGTCCATCAGGGCCACCCACAGGGAGGTCCAACAAGGAGTTCAAATAAAACTGACTTTCTGATTTCTTGGTCTGCAAACGTGAACCATACAAAGGAGAAAGGACTTGACCCTAACGTTTTTATCACATTTAGAAAACAGCTATAAACCACCAGATCAGCTGATGTGTGGGACTCTGTATTGTCCTCGGTGTGCTCAACTCAGAACCATTTAATAAAGCTTCTTAATGTTTTAAAGAAACCTTCAATACATTATAGAGGGTAAAAGGCAGTGTGAAATGGAAACCAAAGATACTGTAGCTTTCAAATAACAGGCTGTGGTAGTATGAACATATTTGGGTCCCATAAGCTCATAGGGAGTGGCACTATTAGGAGGTCTGGCTTTGTTGGGGTAGGTGTGGTCTTGTTGCAGGAAGTGTGTCACTGTGGAGGCAGGTTTTGAAATCTTTATGCTCAAAATACTGTCCAGTGTCACAGCACACTTCTTGTTGCCTTTTGATTGAGATGTAGCCAGCACCATTTCTGCCTGCATGCCACCATGTTCCCCGCCATGAAGATAATGGACTAAACCTCTGAAACTGTAAGCTGCCACCTCAATTAAATCTTTTCCTTTAGAAGAGTTGCCATGGCCATGTTGTCTCTTCATGGCAATAGAAACCCTAACTAAGACACAGGCCTACAAAAAGAAGTGGCTCTAATGTAATTCACTTTATAGCCATTTGGTGTATATAGCTACTGAAAAATTTAGTCACTTTCTGTCCTGACAGACCTTGGTAGAAATTTTTTATTGATACTATATTGACAATTAGCATATAATCAATTTATTTATTTATTTATTTATTTATTTATTTATTTATTTATTTATTTATTTATTTATTTATTTATTTATTTATTTATTTATTTATTTATTTATTTATTTATTTATTTTTTGGTTTTTCAAGACAGGGTTTCTCTGTGTAGCTTTAGAACCTATCCTGGCACTCACTCTGGAGACCAGACTGGCCTCGAATTCACAGAGATCTGCCTGCCTCTGCCTCCCGAGTACTGGGATTAAAGGCGTGCACCACCAATGCCTGGCAAATCAAAAGGTTTATTTCACTATATAGCCCTATATTATTAATTTCTGATGAATAATTAATTTAACAAATTAATTAATTCCTGGTACTATAATTACTATCCCTCTTCCCAGTACTGAGACTTGAACCCAGGGCCTCATGCATGCTAGGCAAGTGCTCTGGCAGTAAGCTATACCCTCAGCCCCGTGATTACTAATGTTTAAAATTACTGACTTAAAAAGGAAATTGGCATAGTCTGAATTTCCCATTTTTTTTCTTCAATGATACAATTTAGTAGCAAAGAAAACCATGTAGAAATATACATTACCTGTAAATGATCTTGTATTTCCCATCTCTCCCTTTGTCAGATAAGGCAACCTCATAGCTGTAAGGAAAGGAGAGACCACCATGGGGTCCACAGGACAGTCCAACAGGGGGTGCCCAGGACAACACAACTGCTCGTGCCTGGATATTAGACACCTGAAAAAAAAAAGGGGGGGAGTTAACAGTGTCCACATGCATTCCACAATTCCATATGATTCTGGCACAGCTGCCTTGAGTTATGGATTTGTTATCAATAACAGTGACACAAAGTTAATCCAAGGCAGCTTTAATTTTAACCAAAGTCCTATCTGTTGCTCTTTTGTTAAAGGCCTGATGTCCAAAGGATGCTCAGCTCCTGTAGCATCGTCCTCAGTGCGCAGACTCACTGAGTCTGACAAACACTCATGCTACTCACTACCTGATAATTTCAAGGTAAACAAAGGTGTTTCCTAGAACCTTCCAACTTTTCTGGGTGTTAACCTGTCTTGTGAAGGTAACATTGGTCCCATGGAGACCCTGAAATCCTATGTATTTCCAGGAAACAGCAAATGCCTTGATTCTCACCACTGCTGCGTTGCTCTACATGCCCTCTTCAGGCACCGCTGGACACTCCCTGCTGTCCACAGCTCCAATCTGCTCATTTAGAACATGTCTAGCCTTGGTTTCCTTCTCTGCCTGGTCTCAGCTACCCTTCTGTCTCAGGCTCTCTAAGTCATCTCCCAAATAACTATCTGTATGAGTTCCTGTTTTAGCGCCTGCTTCTAGAGAAACCTAACTTGATGATGCATAAGGCTTAATCTTTAATAGAAATCTAACAATGGAACTTTCAAACTTTAATTTTCTAAAGACCATTATTTACAACCCGTCTCCTGGTCTGTATACCTCATTAAAATGAACAAAGGAGTGGGATTCAATACAAATGCTAAAGCTTAGTGTTCACCTGTTCACCCTGTCTTTATTGTTGACTATTTCAGCTCTAGGTGAAAGGAATACACAACCAGGCAGTCCCTAGAGTGTTCTCCTATTTTTGCCACTATCTGATCGATATAAATTATGGAAATCTATATACTCACAATAATTTGAAAGCACAAATAGTGGATAGGGAGATAAATGCTGAGCACTGTTATTCGCTCTGCTACTTACTTCAATTTTAGCAGACATTCCTTTGATAAAATTTCTGTTCCATATAGGTATAGCACCATGGCACATTTAGCCAGATTCCTCTTCATCCTTCGAGACCTCATGAGAAGTTCACCTCACTGCCACCACATAGCCTCAACTGAAGTGCTCCACTCAGCATCACACCTCTGCTCAGTAGGGACTGCCACCACATCCTCAACCTGACAGACTCTAATGATGAGGATGTCTTCTGTATGTTTGTCTTATTGGTTGATGAACAAAGCACTGTTGGCCAATAGGGAAACAAGATAGGTGGGGCTAGGAGATGAGGAGGATTGTGGGAAACTTAGGCAGAGTGAGTCACAATGTAGGACTCGACAGCAGTAACAGGTCCAGACTCGTTCTCCGGTAAAAGAAGACCATGTACATATGTATAGATTAGTAGTTATGGGTTAATAACGAAGGCAGAGCTATCCAATAAGAAGCCCTAGTCACTGGCCAATAGTATTCATTACTAATATAGTGTTTGAGTGTTTATTTGGGGCTCTGAGGTGGTTGCAGAACTTGGCAGGAAATCTCATAACACTCTATCTCTTCCAAAGAGCACAAACTAAGTCGTATTCAATGATGAGCAGTGGCTGCTAAGTAAGTGTTTGCTGAGCAAAAACTAAATCAGAGAGAATATGGTACATTTAGTTTCTTTGTTGTTTTGTTTTGTGTCCCTGGCTGTCCTGGAACTCACTCTGTAGTGAGTGAGTTCCTCTGGTGGCCTCAAACTCACAGAGATCTGCCTGCAAAGGCGTATACCAATACCACCTGGCTACATTGTTTTCATAGAGGCAGCACAATAGACAGATGTGTAATGTCTCCATATCCTTGGACACATGAGAGGTCATTAAAGGACCAGTCTCCAGCCCTCCAGCTGGGGCTCCAGACTCCAGCTCTCCTGCTGCCAACCTTGCAATGAACTACACCATCTAATGGGCCAGAATGTGGGATCAGGATCCACCCTGGCCTCTGATCTGCAGACTGACCATCCACACCTTTCATGGTCCGTTCCTGCCCCAAACAGCTTTTGTCTTTCCCACTGCCCTGGGCTTAATAAGCTTTTAAATGCAGGTCAAACCCTGCCTTTGTTTCCGCAGGAGTAATCACAGTGCCCTTATGAGGAGCTCTGGAGAGATGATTAGGACACAGTGTCCAGGCTCACAGAGCCCGGGAGTGTGTAATTATGACCAACTGTGAAATTGACAGGCTTTACAAAGAGACAAATAAGCCTCTGGCATGTTTGTTCAGGTTTATCTAGATCAGGTTCATGGAGGTGGGACGAACCTGAATGTGGGTGGCACCAATCAATGGGCCAGGGTCCCAGACCGGATGAAAATCAGGAAATGAGTCAAGTACCAGCATTCATCATCCCTCCTTCCTAACTGGGAAGGTACTCTGACCAGCTGCCTCATGCTCCTGCCATCAACATGTCCCATCTTCCAAGTGTGAGCCACTATGAACCCTTCCTCCCTTATGCTGCCTTTCTCAGGCATTTTGTCATACAACATGACGAGCAGCTAATACAAGGGGCACTGGGGTAGACAGGCACTGTAGAATCCTGGGACAGACCAGGACAGTCTACGAATGGTCCTCACAGTCTGCTGGTCAGTATGCTCTGGCCACACTTTCCGTCTCCTGGGTGCTCATTTCACTGCTGGAGCATCGATCTGTTGGTGGTTGATTTCTTTGCTCTTTAGTTTCTCATACACAGCAGGGTATATGCTGGATTCTTCCACATACCTGCTCTCGTAACCCTGAGCTATTGAGTAATTTTAATTTCAAAGGTGCTGTTTCACTATGAAAGGTTCAGCTTCCATTAAAAAAGGAGGCTCCCTCACTGGGCAGACATTTGCTGAGGTGCTAAGTGACTGCCTTGCACCATTCCATGATCCAAACAGGTAGTGACACCGATTCTATGATAAGAGGTGTGAACTCACACGTCTCTCCGAATAGTCTGGTGAAAGCCAGGCCTTCAGATACCAAGCACACATTCATAAATTCACACCCTTCAAACTTCATCTTTCCTAGCAACTGCTAAAAACACATTTCTCCTTGTAGATTTATTTATTTAAATGAGCAAAGGCATGTGCTCCTAGAAGTACCAGCTAAAATAGTGTTTACTTCTCCCTAGACTATGAGCCAGCCTTGAGGATACATAGATACTTGTGGAAAAGCAACCTTACCAAGGGACTTCCCAACACAAGTGCACTCTGGGAAATCAGCACTGCTTCCTAAGGACAAATGCCCCTAGGAATTCCACCCTTAAGCTCTGATGGCCACTGGCATCCTATGGGAAAGAGTGGTGGGCCTCCCTTTGGACTTGGAAGTCACTTCTACCTCAAGGTAGAAACACAGCTTTTGTCTTTCAACACAATGCCACCCAGGGGCCAACCCTCAGCCCCAGATGTATTTACATCAAATGGGTCAGGACTAGAGTGGTAAGATGAGATGGGAACTGGGGGGGGTCAAGCCTAAGTGACCGAATGGGTCCTGGAACTTCACACTGCCAACTCCTCTCTTTGTTTCCAACCTTTCTCACCAGTGCTGATCACTGAGTCACCTGGAATGCTGCTCTTTTGTTCACTTCAGTGATTGCCATGGCTACAGATAGTGTCTCAAAGTATACCGGCTTTATGGACATTTAAAGGGGTTGGCCACCACTAAAAGTCAATACCTTTAGAAGCAGTGATAGAAGTGGTGATTTCTAGTTCTGAATTACTGATGAAGGTAACATTGATACAAAGGGTCTTTGGGAAGTGTATGAACTAAGTCTGCATAGGGATTAGCCAACCTTCTAAAAATGCCTTGAGGGCTTAGGAAACTACTTCTAACCAGCTCCTCATTGGTTACAGCCTGGTCTTTCCTATGTATTTAAAACTAGATTCTAACTGGAGAGTAGTTGCCTGTGTGAACTGTAAAGTGTACTAACTTGTAGCAATCCTTTATCCTTTCTCTTTGCCCCTTCTGGTCAGTGTTTGAAGTAGCCTGTAAAACTGCATTTGTTTACTTGTTACTCTCAGGATTTAGCTATGCTGGAGGCCCTCTAATCTGGTGAAGGCAGAAGCCTTCGTGATGACTAACCCAAAAGAAAAACACACGGGAGAGAAAAGGGTAAAGGACAGACATTCAGATCCACAACTCCCGGTTCATCTGCTTTTCCAGCTCCCGACGTGCTGTGCTTCAGCTCTGTTCCCAGACAGCTCTCAAAGAAGTGTTCCTCCTAGGTCTCCCTTCTGTACTGACAAACCAATTGTTTCTTCACACTCAACATTAGCCCATGGAAATGACACACGACCCAGCTTCAGATTATATGTCATTATTGTCCTGAGAACCAGGACACCGGGGGTAGGGAGATGGGGGTGGGGAGGGCTGCACTGAGCATCACCATCTGAGGAGATCGAACCAGTGAGGCAGCTAATTCCTAAACCACACAGAGGGCAGCATTTGAGATCCCACCTCAGGTAAAGCAGTGGGCCATGACTGCCAAGTCCCCAAGGCACCCAAGGGCAGAGCTGCAGGACAAATACCTTGTGTATCAGGAGATAGACCTTAGGAAACTGGCCAAGTATTTGGATCTCTTTCAGGGAACAGTAAATGACTCAGTTTGGTGAGCCCAAGGTTACATCAAGGTGACTGGGGTCTGCAAGCCCTAGATGCCATTTCTGCCCTTGCATGGTTAGCAGAAATCGCAAAGAAAAATCCCTGTCATTTAGAGTTGACATAGGATGCAGTGGAAAGGAAAAAGAAGGAAGAATGGCTCATGCCAATTATGGGCCCAACCTTCTTCTCAGCTCAGATTCATCAGGAGAGTAGCCTGGTGCGCTTCTCATCTGAGTGTAGTACACAGCTGCCCTCTCACCTAACTACACACTACAAACTGTAAGGAAAGCCTCTAACACAGCATGCAACTCCCCCCTCAGATTCCCATGTTGTTTTTATTAATTACATTTACTTTAAAAGATGAAGACACTGAGACACCTCATTTTACATCAGGAAGGGGCTAAACCTTGGCTAAGGTCAGGGAGATAGATAACAGCTGTACAGGGAAAAACCCAGAGACATGATTGTAAAACATGGCCACTCCCTCTCAACTGCTGCCTGGCACTGTGACATCCTCTGTCCCGGCCTTCCTCCACACTGGCCAGTCTTGGGGCATCTATTCTACCCACCAGAATCTAGATATGTCTGTCAGATATTTCTTCAGAAACAGTTGTCCAGGGTTCTGTATGTGTCAAGGACAGTGATAGCTAGGTTTTGAGAGCACAAAGACTAAGGGACAATCATACATAAGAACTTTAGTAAGAAGGGACAAGAGAAAGAAGACAGGAGAGAGAAAACTGTGCAAATGACTGGCTGGGCTGGGGAATGAGCAGTTGTCACCAGGACTAGGGGAAGTGTGCCGGCAGGCCGCATGCCTCCCGCCTCAGTCTGGGAAGCCACCTAGGTCCTGTGTAAGAGTAATTGGTACTCTTACTGCTGAGTTGTTTCTCCAGCCTTATGTTCTGAGACAGGTTCTCTCACTGAATTTGGAACTTACTGTTTCAGCTGTACCTGTCAGTCAGCAAGCCCTGGGAACCACTTGTGTCTGTCCACTTGTGCTTAGATTACAGGTGTTCCATCACACTTGGGTTGTTTGTTTTGTGTTTTTATGTGGGTGCTGAGATCCAAGCTCGGGTCGTCATATTTGCACAACAAGCATTTGCCCCTGGAGTCATCTCCCAGCCCCTTAATACTTTTCTAATCTCTCCCTGCTCTTTACCTCTATCCCCAACCCCAATCTGCTGTTGTGCCTACAATGTGAACTATGATTATAGTTGCCCATTCCTGCTCTTGGTCCTCCTGTTTCCACAGCATTGAGTCTACCAGACACTTCCAATTGTGTGCTGTATTCATTTTTCTGTATGATCTGCAAGTGAAACAGACCTAATATGTCCAGGAATGGCCATGAAGATACAAAAGGAGCCTAAAATGAACGTACAGAAGGCAGCTGGAAGAGACTTTCAGAAATACCTTGAGAGCTATGTGTTATGAGCAATGGCAGGGATACATCCAGGCCACAGCAAGACTAGAGGCACTACCAGAGGTACTGAACACCATGAGGCCAACCCACTTAATGGCAAGGGCAGCAACGGGGAAAGCAGTTGAACTGGGATGCTCTGATGCTAAAAGCCCAGCTACTCTGACATTTGGTATCAAATGGGTAATAATTTAATCAATTTATCTTTAGAACTGACCTAATATCTGGCCTTCCTTGCCACATTGGACATGACCACCTAATCTGACTCCTGTACCCCATCCTATGGACAATGAGGAGTGTGAGGATTCCTAACCTTCCCCAACCCCCCACGGGGCCCACCCTTTTGTTCCAACTCATCTGCCAACTTAGATCAGTCTGTAAATGTAGCCCTGGTTACTTAGCACCTCTGCCTAGGAACTCACAATGACTGCTTGACCTATGCAGAGTGACCTCAGACTCCTCAAGTCTCCAGCAAGGTCCCTCACAAATGCCTGTAACGTCCACCTTCCAACACACCCATGCTCCTAGGTTTAGTCCAATGGAGTCTGATTTTAAAAAGCCCCAGTCTTTGTAACACCAAGAATCAAGATTTTCCAATTCAGCCAGAAAAACACTCCCTCAAAACTTTGGCTATAGCTCAGACAAAAAGGTTGAATCAACATTATAAATTTCTAGCTGAATTTCAAAACACCTGGCAAATGAAACCTAAATCTCACAACATTACCACTCCCACCATCTTTTTCTTTCCATTGTGCCCAATTTCCTCTAATGTACTAATACTGTTCTGAAATCTACCTAGGGAAATACCTGGGATTTCTAAATGTATTATTCTTTCCTTTACAAAGGTAACCAGAAATTACCAAGAACAAACTGCTCTGTAGACCCATGACAATGTAGATGCATCAGAACGTTTGCACAAAGGTGGCATTTCAGTAGGTGTCTACACAGAAGCCTGTTCTAGATTTTCGTGGTCTGTTAATAACTGACTACTATTTCAAGCTTATCAAAATTTGCAATGGGAAGGGGTCCTTCTGCTTACTGGTGGTGTGGCAAAATAAAAGCACATTAGGAATACTTAAGAACATGTTGTTCTTGCCGCGAGGTCCAGAAGACATACCTGTGGTTTCTCTATTCCGGAAAGAATGTCTTGCACCCTCTTTACTTCCAACTCATATTCTGCAAAGACAAGAAGGGGACAAAATGTTACAAGGCAGGAAGGCTGTCAGTTTCCTTCTCCATGCCTTAGTCACAGAGATCATCAAATCAGTCAATTACCTGGTACTACACATTGCCAGTGCCACCCTGAACATTGCTAAGAACATCACTGTGTTTGTGTTAGCTTGCCAGTGTATTTGTAAGTATTCACCAGGTCAGCTTGATTTAGTCCTACTTTGTTCAACACACACCAGGGAATAAGGGGTCATAAGAAGGGCCACCAGGAGACCCTTACAACTGGAAATATACAGAACACCTTCTAAGAGAAGGTGAACTTGAGTGACAAAGGCATGAGTTAAAACTTTTCTTCAGGATGTATGTATGTACATATGTATCCGTGTATTCATTTGTTTGTAGTTTATAGTAAAACCCTTATATAGCTTGGGTTTTACATTTGAACTGCAGTGTTTAAGTAGAAGGACTTACACAACTCAGCTGGAACTTGAAGAAACACTAGACCTCTGCATCAATAATTGATATAAGGAAGGTGTGTGGTGGGTTAATCCATTGCTGCACTGGTACAGGCAAAGGACAGTGCTACCTTCAGTTAGAGTTGGTGGCAAACAGAGTGAAAACATAACTCTGCTGGGAGACACAGCAGTTTCAAAACTGGATGTGACAGACATGAGCAAGGGCACACGAGCAGTGATATTCTAGTCTTCATCAACTAGATGGGTGATGGTGTCTTCAATAAGATGAGGAAAGGGACATTTTCATAGTGTGGTAAAACCCACACCTTAGAAATACAAGGAAGAAAATGCTTTGGCATACAGAGATGGGAAAGATAGATAGCCAAATAAAAGCAAGTAACAGAATTCAAACTGCTTCACTTCCAGGAGGCCTGGAGTCTAAATCTGAGTTGTGATGGATTCCACAACTATTTGTTCTGGTTTATAAGCCCAATGCTAGAAAGACATGATTCCCAGGGCATAAGTCCTTGTCTCCCACTATTTGCAGGTTAGTGGGGAGAAGGTGGAGGAAAACGAAACGGTAATTGCAACATCAGAGGATGAAGCTGTCCTCAAGGCAACCTGGAGGAGGGCAGTGGGAAAGCTCTAGATCAACCTAGATTAAGGGAGCCCTGTGGGGAAGCAGACATGTGGCAACAAAACTGGGGCAAAGTTGGTTAGCCAGCCCCACATTTCATAAGGACCTGTGTTTACTACTCGGGTGTAATCTCAGTCACCTGCTCAAGGACTGTCTCACTGACTTCCCACTCTGTCACTCAAATCCCACTGATTGCTATGTACTAACAATATCTGAAAATAATGACCCTGCTGAGTTCTTTCATACTCTTGTTTGGTCTGGCAGGTACACATTTTAGTAGGAAAGGCCTACAGTACCTGGTTTGTTTCCTATTAAAAACAAAACAAAAACAAAGCCCTGTAATCTCAACACCTGGGAGGTGGAAAGCTGAGGATCTGGAGTTCCAGGCTAGCCTAGGCTACACTGCAAGAAGATAAACTCCCAACTGATAATACAAATAGATGAATTAAATAAAGACAGTAACACCATATATGGGGCTGATGGGGAGGATGGAAGAAAAACTCAATCTGAAATGCTGGAAATGTCAACCCAGTGGTTAAGTAAAAAGCTCCTGGGCCAGGCGTTGGTGGCGCACACCTTTAATCCCAGCACTTGGGAGTCAGAGGCAGGTGGATCTCTGTGAGTTTGAGGCCAGCCTGGTCTCCAGAGCGAGTGCCAGGATAGGCTCCAAAGCTACACAGAGAAACCCTGTCTTGAAAAACAAAAACAAACAAACAAACAAACAAACAAACAAAAAGAACAGTAAGAAGGTACAGTGGGAACCTCAGGATATATGTATGCCCTGGAAAGACCACATCTGCCAGCAAAAAATACAAAGGAAAAGAAAGTAATTTTAAAAGCATGGAAACACTTTTGTGGAATCACAAGAGAGACTCCTTTTTTTTCCCCCTTTGTTGTTGGTTCAAGTCTCACCATCCCAAAGCATCTCTCTTCCCAAGAACATACAGTATCTTTAGCAAAGTGAAGGTTAAATCAAAAACACACAATAAAGTGAATAGTTTAAAAAAAAAAAAGAACACCACACACCGAGGGAGCATGTGTTAAGTGAAATTTAAACTTTCCATAAATAATGGTTTTCATGTTTGCTCCAAAAAACGTAAGTTCAGACTGTTTGAAAAACTGCACAGGCTAAACTAATTTAAACAGCCCCCTTTATAAACACAATTTCTCTTTGGTTTGCTTCACATGTTCTTTCCTTCTTAGAGAAGAAACTCAGGTCCATGATTGGCTGTAGCTGTAAAAAGTGTTTATGTTCATTCCAATTGAGCAACATCAGGACGAGTTTTCTCTGTACTTTCCCCCTAGTCTCAGAGCAGCTCATGTGTAGATGCCCCTCTGGACATCAGAGTCCTCCCAATGACCTGCTATGGCTGCCCTTTAAGAGAGATATACCAATTAAACCAGAGGGATGAAAATACAGGATCCAATCATTTAGATGCAAGAACTAGATAGCCAAATAATATTTTTAAATGAAAAGAAAAATAGGCATCAATAATAAAAGCAAACTAGACACCCAGTCAAAGTTTGCTAATATCTGTGAGAATGAATATAGGCAAAGGAAGAAAATAGTATGCTCAAATAATTTTTTTTATATAGAAAATCAACCTGGCTGTTACCAATTTGAAAAAAAATCACTCCTCTGAGAGGGAGGAAAAAGGAATCAAGTACATACAAAAGTTTAATTACTCAAGGACCTTCACTTAGTGGTTAGGATTTATTAAGTGTAAATACTATAGATAATTCTTCAGCCCTCTTTAGTGACTTCAGATAATGCTCTAAATGCATACTGCCTAAGCATGTGAACTGGGTACCCACATAAAACCTGTGCACCCTAGCACTACATTGGGTGGAAACAAGAGAATCACCAGGGCTTGCTGGATGCCACCTTTAGCCCCCAAAATGCAAACAGGAACTCTTGCTTCAGCAGAGAAGCAAGAAGGAAGAAGAAGGAAGAAGGCAGAGTGTGACAGAAAATGGCACTGGATATCTTCATCTGGCCTCTGTGCATGTGCACATAAACATGTATAACACACACACACAGACACACAGACACACAGACACACAGACACACAGACACGCACACACACACACACATCCACACACACCCACACACCCCCACACACACACACACACACACACACACACACACACACACCCTAAAAAAACCAAAAAAGATCACTGAAGAATACATTTTTAAAATATGAGGACAATACAACACTTAGCCCCTACAGAACAAACAAACAAACAAATAAACAAACAAAACATCGAGTGGCCACAGAGACAACTTTAGTAAGGAAAGTCCTTGCAGAATCTGAGTCTAGATTCCCAGCAAGCATACAGAAGCCAGGCACAGCAGTGTATGCTTGTAATCCCAGTGTTAAGGAGGCGGGGTCAGGAAGATCCCTGGGGTTTATACTAGTCTGAATTGGTGAGCCCCAGATTCAGTGAGATGCCCTGTCTCAAAAATATAAGGAGAGTGACTGAGAAACACAACCTCTGGCCTTCACACATGTACCTGCATATACATGTGTACACAGATGAACATGGGTGGGCACACACATACAACCACAAAATTGACATCAAGTATTTTGATACAGAAATGCAAAACAGAAATCTTTTGAAAGGTTTAGTTGAGAAAGTGATTATATTCTTTGAAATTCTGAAAGATGGATGAACACTAGCCCATCAATGATGAAAGAGAAAAAAGCCAGCAAGCTGTATTTCAGAATGTGGCAGGTTGTATTCTGGTCTAGGAAAATATTTTCAAGGGTGGCCTGGGTTCCAAGAAAATTCTGGAATCAGAGAAAACTGGAAGGAAAGATGAATTCCTCTTGCAGGTGGAGTGACCAGCTGGTCTGAGAGTTAGCCACAGAATAGAAATGGGACAGCAGGGCCTAATGTTGCTAATTGTGGAATTCAGGAGTAAGAATCATTTCTTCCCTGGAGCAAGTTTTGAGGCAAAGTCCTCCAGACATTTTCACATTAATCCACCCTCAAGCCAACAGGCCCTTCCTGCAAAGGTTGCACCTGTGAAACCAGAGAACAACAGGCAGGGCTAGGTTTGGGACTTTGATGAGAAGTTGGGGAACAGGAAGGTACCCGAGAGTCTTCTCAACTCCCACAAACTCTACACATGTAACTCAAATACATTGCTTGTTGCAAGTACACTAGAGCCTGCTTGAAATACCAGAAGATTCAATTTGCAATTCTGTCAAATTCCCAAAGAAACAGACCTACGTTTGCTTCTCAGGGAACCCTATGTATGCATGGAATCACACAGAAGCAACTAGCATTTTTAAGTCCACCAAATAAAGCAGTGACAAAAATCTCACCAAACTGGATAAAGGTCCTAGGGAACTTCATGCCTTGTGAGCTTAACTCAGGCACCAGGTCTCGGCTCTGCATTTCTGTGGCTGGACTCTACTAGTGAGCCAAGCCTTCCCTGTGCCAGATACAGGTATTTTATTTGGGGAGACTAAACTCCACCATTATCCAGCCAGGGTTGTTGCCTCACTTGGAGGCATAATAGAAAGGCATTTGTTTAAAACAGGACAGAAAATACAAAGGTAATTAAAGTTTGCGCACCACTTTCACAGTAGCATCTAGATACCTTCCCTCGAATGTTTTTCCATTAAGATTTGGCAGAACTGGGCTGGAGAGATAGCTCAGAGGTTAAGAGCACTGACTGCTCTTTCAGAGGTCCTGAGTTCAATTCCCAGCAACCACATGGTGGCTCACAACCATCCGTTATGAGATCTGGTGCCCTCTTCTGGTGTGCAGATATACATGGAAGCAGAATGTTGTATACATAATAAATAAAATCTTAAAAAAAAAAAAGATTTGGCAGAACACAGTGAAAATTTTTCAATTAGCTTAGTCAATACTTTTGTAAGACCGAGGATGAATGGGCAGAA